AAGAATACAGTGCAGATGTCACAGAGCCCACTCTGGTCACAAGTCCTGCACCCGTTCACTGACTTCACAGAAATGAGCTGGAAGCTGAATGGCAGATGGCAAAGCTAAAACGCCAGTAAGTGAAAAGAAGTGATGAAAATCACATGATGAAGCAGCCCTGAAGCCCACCATAGACCTGTGGAGCAGAGGTTAGCACTGTTAGCTCACAGCAACAGGGGTCCTGGTCCTCTGTATACAGGAGATTGATAGTAACGCATTATTATCGGCACAGGGTCGAGGCAGGGCTTGAAACTGATGGTGCTAAATGACTGCATGTGGATTTGGGCCGACTGACGTGAAGCAAAACCAACATATGGGCACCTTCTCACGAAATTCCGACAGCACTTAAATGTAGCAGAGCTCTGCCGGGAAACAAAGCCCTCTTTGTCACTTCTTCCCCTTCTTCAGCTTTTTCACGTGAGCGAGGTTAATAAACGACCACTGATCATGTCTGATGACACACTTCGGGCGCAGAGTTGTGCTTTGTAACTTTTTCCTGCTGGTTAGACCTTTGTTAGAGCCCAGTCTGGAGCGCAGGAGAGAGAAGGAGGGATTTCCCTGTTCCAAAAACTTTTTCATCCAGTTTCCATTAAGGAGGGGGAGGGAGGATGGACATTCCTCTCATACTGAGGCCAGGCGGTGTGGGGGGGAGGGGGTGCTTCCTGCCACTTCTCATGTACCGCTTCTTTCTTTACTCCCAACATGGAAAAAGATTCCTTGGCCTCTAACAAACTCTTTTCCCCGGTGAAAGAATAAAAAGCCCTCGGTGACGTCCAAGATGGAGCGGCTGCAGCAGCGCGTTTCGTAACTTCAGGAGAGTTGGTGCCGAGGAGACGACAGAGCAGCAGGGAGCGAACAAAAGGATGTTTCACTGAACTCACGGGCTCGGAAAGTAAACCAGGTTCTTCAGGTAAATCATTTACGTGTGTGCGCGCACATCAACCGGATGCTCCGCTTATCTTTGTCACACTGTTTCAGTCCTGCTGTTGTCATTTTACGGCACCAAACTAAACGGCTGAGAAAAACCAGACTTTCAGCGCGTCGTTCGTGAAGCTTGGATTGGCTTCGGACTCAGTCATGTGTGCTTTGAATTAACTTCAATAATCAGTGCCAATTCACTGACAGCGTGACGCGTAGGTGGGTGTAGCCTTTACTGCATCCTGGCCTTATCAGTAGGACTCCAGTTAGCTCTGTGTGACATTTGAATGTGAACGTGGGGTCCTTGGAGTGGGTCAGTCTGAAGTGGATGACTCAACAGTTGTTTTGCATTCACAGCGGTGTACTGTCAGTTATCACAGGCGCACAGTAATCTGCGTATGTGACGTTTGGACCTCAGAGTGAGTAACAGAAACTAAACTGGAAATCTTTAACTGACCAGATAAACAAGAAAACTCACTCTATGCAAAAAGCCGTAGAGTGATTTTAATTGGGAAATCCATCCATTCATTTTCCCAACTGTTTATCCAAATTGGGCACGAGCCGTGTCCCACGAGCCTGCCCCAACCCTTACAGGGGGTTCGGCATTTCCACACAGCATCATGGCTTTAGTTTCTCTGTTGACACACGCAGACTAAATTCTGATAATTCTCATTTAATTTGAGACTAAACAAGATTGAGTTTAATGATTTAGATTAACTTGTATTTGTAAAATATTTGAAATTGTAGCTTTTAAATAAGCTTGAATTGCCATTAAACACAAAGACTCCAACTGCAGGCCTCGAGGGCCGGTGTCCTGCAGGTTTTACATGTGTCCTTGATCCAACACAGCTGATTTAAATTGCTAAGTGACCTCCTGACCATGTTTTGAAGTTCTCCAGAGACCTGGTAATGAGCTAATCATTTGATTCAGGTGTGTTGACCCAGGGTGAGATCTAAAACCTGCAGGACACCGGCGTTCCTGGCCTACAGCTGGAGTTGGACATCCCTGGAATAGAAGGTGTAGCTGTACAGTCACTGGGCCTTTCTTTTGATTTGAAGATATTTGTTAACAGCACTCTTCAACGAAAGACATTTGCTGCTCCAAAATTTGGAGTTCAGCTTGAGGTGAAAGGGGCAGTCCATGCTAATGTCTAATGTTGGGGTAAGAGTTTCTTTAACTGAAGGGGCCGGGCTCAGCTCCTGTGAAACAGCCCCGCACCATGATCCTCGCTCCACCAAACTGTACACTTGGCACAGCGCAGTCACACAAGCATTGTTCCCAAGTGTGACACTGAACCGGCAACTAGCAGAAGTAGTGAAGGTAGATGACTTTAATCCCTGGGGTTGAGAGGTCGGCAGAGGTAGAGACCAGCAGCCGGGTGGATTTGTGACTGAAGGATCGCAGCTCAGAAAATGGGAAGATTTACAAAATGGTGTTTAGATCAAAAAGACAGGAGATGTTCAAGTTTTCACTGCGAGTGAGCAGGATGCACAGGACAGAGGCTGAGACGGTTTGGACGCGAGCGGCAGCTTTTGATTATTTTAGTAAACAAGTATTCCATTTCTTTTTCGAGTAATTGGATGAGACATCGTTTTGTTTTAATAATCAGCAGTAGAAAAATACAGGTCCTTTAAAATAAACTCCTCATTGGTTTTCATGCTAGAAATGTCAGAGTTCTGCATAGTTTAACTAAACAGAACCTAAAGGAAGTGAGGTCAGAGGTCACATTGTAATGTAACTCCTGTATCTTTACTGTAGACTTGAGTAAACCAAACAGTGGAGGATGGGAGAAGCTCACAGGTTTGCTGATCAGTGGTTTGATGGAGCACCGAGCTAGCGTTTCCCTGTAAAGGTCTGAATGGTTATGACAGTAAGAAGCACTGCTAGAAAAATGTTTTCCCTGCACCAGAGCTCGTTCTCGTGGTTACGACCTTTTGCTCCTGATCATTTGTGTGTAGACAAACTCCGTGTTAAACTGTGACGTTTATTTTCACTGCTGCTGTTGTTTTATCAGCCGTAGCAGCCAGTTTGCTAACATGTCAACAGTTTGCTGATTGACTGGGATCACAGTCCGACTTACAGCTGGTTACACCCCCAACATACCGTTTACCCCCGTTATCCTCTGTTATCCTCGTGCTAACCAGGCCTCACCCTGCTTAGCTTCCAAGATCAGAAAAGGCTGGCTCCAACCTTTAATGTGCTATATCTTGTTTTCACCAGCCACATACCCCAGCACGTACTGCACCCGTGTGTTGTACCTGATTCTTGAATATTGTATCTGACAGTTTAAATATCTGCGGTTGCTTCAGCATCATTCTGCTTGCTTCTTTCATTTTATGTGTCGTGAACAATCTGCACTGATCTTAAGAAACATCTGCAACATGAACGACGGACACTGAGTCAGCACTCTTCTGTTATACTGATATAGAAAGTCCAGAATAAGGACGTCTGCCTTCAGACAGTTCCACATAAACATCTTGGTGGTCTTCACTTAATATCAGATGTGTGAGTGGATGTTGGTGCTCCACAGATCTTTAAAGAAGTGTTGCATGTTATACTGTGCTGAGCTCAGGTGACAGAAGCATGAAATGTGGTTTCCATGTTTGCATGAGCCGTCTCGAGGACAAGTCTACACATTGTTCTTGACTCTTATTTATTTTATTAGAATCATCATGGGTTTTATTTTTCAAGTCCTGAATATTTTCATGCTTTATCTTAGACCGAGTAAATACATGTGCAATAAAGTGCAGTGCGTACATTTAACCAGGAAAGGCATCTGCAGTATGAAAGCACTCCCACTATTTTCTTTCTATAGTTTTAAAGACAACAGGAGGAAAAATGTGATCCCACAGTCCATCCTGTTGTTCATAGAGTCTGAAACACTTATCACAGAGACGGTTGACAGGCAATGCTGGTTAAGCAATTACACTAGTGCACAGGTATGAAGGTGTGGCTTGGAGCTGAATAGTTGCCAGGTCCACCTCCGAGCTCCACCTGTCAGAGTGGGAAGAAACGGGAAAAGAGGTGCGTTGTTTCAAACCTTCAAAACCCAGGTACACATCGCTGTGAGTGGAACAGACATTTTTTCACTGGGATTGCTTTATAAGGAAGGATTCTTTGAGCCACACAGGTATGATATCATTTTAAAAACAAAGAAAAGGTCTGGACAGAAGCTGAATTCAGGTTTGAGCTGTAGAGATAAAATCAGCGCTTTACTGCCATGCAGCAGAGACCAACAGGTGGGAAGAAAAATGTTGCATGTATTTTTTCTGAAGGCTTCACTCTAGCAGGGATCTCTGAAGCATTACATCTGAAACTATTAACACTTTTAGCCAGTACATGTATCAAATGTGCTAAACTGAATGCATACGCTGGACTCTGTAATATAATTTAGCACGATGTAAACAGTCAGAGAACATCAGGAGAATGGAGGCTTACTAAATAAACATGGATTCCTTATTTTTCAACATTATTTTAAACATAAGTGTATTTTAACTTTTGATTTAAGTTCATGTTTCCACTTTCATTGCATGAACAAAGGATATAAGAACCAACAAAACAAGAGGTCATGGGTGTTACAGTAGCATCAGTTGGATTATGTCTTTGCTCTCATGTATGTCAACAGGTGTTGTTAATGGTCGGTTGTGCCGGCAAGATAGGAATTTTTTTCCATCGCTTGTCTCCCAAATCCTTTTGTAAACAGCTGGAGTCATTTGGTCTAATAAATGAAGGTGTTTAATTATGTTAATAAAATTTGTGGGGGGTGCTTCTGAAGCCAACATTTTGTAATTTTGCTGCAAACATGACAGGGTGTCTGTACATCAGGAGGTAGAGCAGGTCATCTGCTGACTGGAAGGTTGGTGGTTTGATCCCTCGCATGCCAAATATCCTTGGGCAAGATATTGACCCCAAGTTGCTCTCCAACGCGTCCATCCAAGTGGGAATGTTAGTGAGTACTTAATACAACATTCACTTTCTTCTATTATTTTAATACTTTGAGTACCCCAGGAGAGTAGATAAGAATCAGTCCATTTACTTTCAGAAGGTAGGCATATTTACCCATATTTTCCGGGATATACCTGAGATCTGGAGACCCAAAGCTTGTATAAACCAAGATACCCAGGGTTTGGGAAATAATTGCAGCAACATCCTTCCATATGGGATATGTGGCTGGTGGATATGATGAGCATGAAGAGCCAGCTGAGTTCTGCTTTGACTTTTCCTTGGGAGTGATAAAGAAGCGGATCTGCTTTTTCCAACAAAAGTCCCTCCAGGTTTGAGAGTTGCTTCTTTTTCCCATTAACATGGTTTGTAGAGTCCTTATTCATTATAACCTTACTCTGGTACAGCTTACTTACTAGACCATTGCCGTTCCCGAAACTATAAGCATCCATGAATATCTAGATAACATGAGGAACTTCAATCGGACAGAGACCCTTAATGTTTTGGTCATTGAACAAGTAGATGTAATACTAGAGTGAGCCCACTGTACATATCTTCTGTCTTGTAATGGTGACTTAAAGTCAGGGTCACAGGCATGCCACCTTAATAATTTGGAGTTTGTACTCATTGAGCACTTTCACCCACTGGTTTACTGTTTTAGGGATTTCTTCCTCTTTTTTTCTGTCGAGCCAAGTAATGACTGGACTATTAAATTCCTGATATTTTAGATAATGCCAGGTGATTGGTAGTTATTGAGTCTACAGTGCTTCAGTGGACATGAAAATTTCCAGTGCATCGCAGAGGTATATACAAGGTGTCCTCAAATTGGTGCCTTGAAGCACCAATGGTTGCTGGCTGCTACAATATTTAGTGATGAGACACGAGGTCTTGAATGATCAGGCCCCATCTTATCTGAAAAACCTCGTAGTACTCTTTTACTCCATTGGAGCACTTTGCTCTCAGACTATGGGCTTACTAGTGGTTCCTAGGGCTTTTATGGGAACAGTACGGGAGGCTGCTGACTACAGTATGGGAGGCAGCCTTCAGCTTCAGGGCCTCTCTTCTGTGGAACCAGCTCACAGTTTGAATTCAGGGTGACCGATACACACTCTACTTTAAGGACTTAAACGTTCCTTTTTGGACCAAGCATTTAGTTATGTCTGGAACAGTGCAGTAAATCTAAGCTGCTGGGGTCGTCACATGATGCACAAAGTGTTTCTTCTTCACTCACTGTGTGTTTATACGCCACTCTGCGTTTAATCATTAGTTATTATTAATCTCCAGCTCTCTTCCACAGCGTGTCTTTGCCCTGTCTCCCCACCCCAACTACACGTGGTAGGTGGCTGCCCCCCTGTCCCTGAGCCTGGTTCTGCTGGAGGTTTCTTCCTGTTAAAAGGGAGTTTTTCCTTCCCACTATCGCCATAGTGCTTGTTCATGAGGGGTCATGTGATTGTTGGGTTTTCTTTATTCGCCTTGCAAAATAAACATCTTGAGACAACTGTTATTTTGGTTATATCCCCAGACACTGGTGTCAAAGTTGTTTACAGAAACAAATCCTCAAAAATCCTGTCCTGAATAAGATTTTATTCATTTTTCCACATAAACTCTGATCTTGGCGTTAGCAAAATTTTGTTACGTTTGTCATGTTCTATGGAACGTGCTGCGTGGAGTGTCTGGACCCTTGTTGTTGGTTCTTGTACAGCTGTTTCAAGAACTTGGTTCGCATTACCAGGAACAAGTCGGACTTGTTCCCAATGCGTTGGACTCCGTCAGGGCTGCCCTTTGGCCCACATCCTCTTTATTATTTTAATGGACAGAATTTCTCGGCGTAGTCAAGTGATGGGCTTCCACTTGGGGACACCCCAACCACAGCCTGTTCAGACTCCTGCCCTCCGGCAGATGGTACCATGGCCTGAGGTACAACGCTGTGCGGGGCTGTGGAAGCTTCTTGCAAACCGCCATAAGACTGTTGAACATTTTTATAGAACAGGGTCAGCTGAAATGGTTCAGCTGGACATCTCTTGGTGAGTTACACTGAGAGGAGATCCATGGGCAAACCCAGGATTATGATAACAAGCTGAAGGCGACTCTAGACACTTACAGTGGGGCAAAAAAGTATTTAGTCAGCCACCGATTGTGCAAGTTCCCCCACCTAAAATGATGACAGAGGTCAGTAATTTGCACCAGAGGTACACTTCAACTGTGAGAGACAGAATGTGAAAAAAAAATCCATGAATCCACATGGTAGGATTTGTAAAGAATTTATTGGTAAATCAGGGTGGAAAATAAGTATTTGGTCAATAACAAAAATACAACTCAATACTTTGTAACATAACCTTTGTTGGCAATAACAGAGGTCAAACGTTTACTATAGGTCTTTACCAGGTTTGCACACACAGTAGCTGGTATTTTGGCCCATTCCTCCTGCAGATCTTCTCGAGAGCAGTGATGTTTTGGGGCTGTCGCCGAGCAACACGGACTTTCAACTCCCGCCACAGATTTTCTATGGGGTTGAGGTCTGGAGACTGGCTAGGCCACTCCAGGACTTTCAAATGCTTCTTACAGAGCCACTCCTTTGTTGCCCGGGCGGTGTGTTTTGGATCATTGTCATGTTGGAAGACCCAGCCTCGTTTCATCTTCAAAGTTCTCACTGATGGAAGGAGGTTTTGGCTCAAAATCTCACGATACATGGCCCCATTCATTCTGTCCTTAACACGGATCAGTCGTCCTGTCCCCTTGGCAGAAAAACAGCTCCATAGCATGATGTTTCCACCCCCATGCTTCACAGTAGGTATGGTGTTCTTGGGATGCAACTCAGTATTCTTCTTCCTCCAAACACGACGAGTTGAGTTTATACCAAAAAGTTCTACTTTGGTTTCATCTGACCACATGACATTCTCCCAATCCTCTGCTGTATCATCCATGTGCTCTCTGGCAAACTTCAGACGGGCCTGGACATGCACTGGCTTCAGCAGCGGAACACGTCTGGCACTGCGGGATTTGATTCCCTGCCGTTGTAGTGTGTTACTGATGGTGACCTTTGTTACTTTGGTCCCAGCTCTCTGCAGGTCATTCACCAGGTCCCCCCGTGTGGTTCTGGGATCTTTGCTCACCGTTCTCATGATCATTTTGACCCCACGGGATGAGATCTTGCGTGGAGCCCCAGATCGAGGGAGATTATCAGTGGTCTTGTATGTCTTCCATTTTCTGATGATTGCTCCCACAGTTGATTTTTTCACACCAAGCTGCTTGCCTATTGTAGATTCACTCTTCCCAGTCTGGTGCAGGTCTACAATACTTTTCCTGGTGTCCTTCGAAAGCTCTTTGGTCTTGGCCATGGCGGAGTTTGGAGTCTGACTGTTTGAGGCTGTGGACAGGTGTCTTTTATACAGATGATGAGTTCAAACAGGTGCCATTCATACAGGTAACGAGTGGGGGACAGAAAAGCTTCTTACAGAAGACGTTACAGGTCTGTGAGAGCCAGAGATTTTCCTTGTTTGAGGTGACCAAATACTTATTTTCCACCCTGATTTACCAATAAATTCTTTACAAATCCTACCATGTGGATTCATGGATTTTTTTTTCACATTCTGTCTCTCACAGTTGAAGTGTACCTCTGGTGCAAATTACTGACCTCTGTCATCATTTTAAGTGGGGGAACTTGCACAATCGGTGGCTGACTAAATACTTTTTTGCCCCACTGTATGCTGTTTTTTGTGTTTTCAGCTTTTTTCCCATTTTTGTGAATTTGACGTCTTCTTGTCAAATTTGGCAGATTCAACATTAAATTAATATTTGAAACTATACAAATTAAAGTTGTTATAGTTATAATTCCAGCTTGGTTCTGGATGGAGTATTGAGAGTTGGAGGTGGCCTCGCTGCTGCTGCGATGCCAGAACATATGAAGCATCCAATCATTATCCCAAAGGACGTGCGTATGACCACACTGCAGGACACACACGAGAAGATTGGACACTGTGGAAGACTGTATATGCTCTCAGAGCTGCAACAGAAATATTGGATTCCTTCTGCTAACTCGGCGCTGAGGAACTTTCTGTCAGGATGCATAATCTGCTGGAACACTAAAGGCAAACCATTGGAACAAACTGGCCAAGAAGACAGACTTCCACCCGATGAACTCCCCGTTACTAATGTGGGAGTGGATCGCTTTGGATTGCTGATTTGAAGCTAGGCCGCAGCACTGTGAAAAGATATGGTGTGCTGCTTACCTGTCGTACAATGTGCACAATTTTAATGTGCACACAATAAACACTGATTCTTGTCTAAATGGCATCTGACTCCAGTAACGGATGACCCAACAGACCCTAACCACTTGCTGCTGATGAGGAAACGGCCAGTTTGCCTCTTAAAACATGTTTGCAATTGCAGGAAATGGCAATATTGAAGTATGCTCGAACTATACATGTCTGTGCTGCAGTGGAGTATGGGTGCGCGTATTTCATGTAAGAATAAGAGCAGTTAAATTACTATGCATGCTTATTTCTGGTGCCTAAAACATATTTTCCCAAAACCTGAAAAGATTTCAATGCCAGAGATAAGCAGTTTCTAGATTTGTCATCCAATATTTGTTCATTGTCCAGATCCTTTGTGTGTATTTAAACAGGAAACAGATTTGGCTGTCATTCAGTATGTGTACACCAATGTTTTCTTCTTGTGTTGTCAAATGTTTCAAACGAACTAAAATGCAGATTGCAACAGGAAGATCCATTGAAATGAATATGACAAAAATAACACGCATATGTAACAAGTCTACCTTGAATCTTGGTGTCTGCTGCACTGATTTTGAGTCCGCATAAAGTCACCATTTTGACCATGTTCCTTCTAACAGGAAGGCCCTCTGACAGAGCCAGGCTTGGGAGAAGCAGCCGTCTACAGGGCCACGTGGGAGGTGAGGGGCAAAGAGAAAGTAGAGAAAAACGGTTACGTGGAACGTGGTGCTCAGAGGACTCATTCCATTATGAGGAGCTGCCCACCACCTATAGCACTATAATAAAGGAGGATTCAAGGTCACCTGATTCAGCTCTAACCAAATCTGAGATTTAGATTATTATTGCTGTCAGATTTCTTGAAAACAGACGGGTGGTAGTTCAGTGCAACCAGACGTCCTGTTCCCCATTCTGCTTTTGATAGCTCTAGAAACCTTTGAGAGTTGATCTCATACTAATACACTAGACTAAGGTATAATCTGGCACGAAATGAATGATCAACTGGAATTTGGATTTAATGAAGAGGGGAGAGTCTCTCCTCCAATAGAAAGCTGACATTGCCCTTCTGTGTCTGTGAACAAAGCAAGTTATTCAGCTAACAGCTGCAATTCTCTGTCGTGTTTAAACGCAGTCTAGTCTAAAGAGCTTTGAAAGAAACTGACTGGATGTCTTTAAGTTTCCTGACAACATTTCATCTCTCATCCAAGAGGCTTCTTCAGTTCCTCTGGGATGAGAGAAATCCAGTCACTTCCATGTTCCTTAAACTAGTATAACCTGGATGACAGAACATACACTGACAAACATGCAGTCTAGTTCGTTCAAGTATAAACATGTTTATGTGAAAAGTCATGTCAGAGCTGCCACAAGCTTCAGACTACAAGGTGACATGTGGGTGAAAAATGACTTTTACAACTTCATTTATGTTACATTAGCAATTCGCTGATAGGCTTTCAAATTAAATGTCAGAATCCACACTTGTGTGAATGAACCATGAAAAACAGCCATTCGATATTAAGTAGATATGCCAAAGTGCAACCAGGTGGTACGTGATATTGGAAGCTGCCTCTGTGTTGCTTTAATATTCGTTAATGACATTGACTGTTAAATTCTAGAATAATAGAAAAAGTAGCTACTGAACATACATCTTTATAAGAAGTACTTTTGGAGTTTTGTTCCCAAAAAATTCTCTGTAAAATGAATCGAAACGACAGCACCACAGTCTGAGGAAGCCGGAGGTTTCTTCCTGTTAAAATGGAGTTTTTCCTTCCCACTGTCGCCAAAGTGCTTGCTCATAGGGGGTCATATGATTGTTGGGTTTGCCTCTGTATGTAGGGTCTGCCTTACAATATAAAGCACCTTGAGGCGACTGTTGTTGTGATTTGGTGCTATATAAATAACATTAGATTGGATTGAGCCACTGTTATAGCTTAGGAAGGCTGTCAGACTCAGGAACGTTAATATGTTGAATACAAATGTTTCTAACTTTGACTCTTTTGTTTTGTTGTATATGTATTTTGCTGAAGTGCAGGCATCTCACCAACACTAACTTATTTCTCCTTTTGTCTCATATTTTATTTGCCAACAGATGTTTCGGAAAAAAGCATCTTCCTCCTTGAGAATGAGAAGGATAACAGAAACTAGATGTAATGATTTTCTTTTCTCTACTCTATCGAACAGGGATCACATTCAGTGTTGTCAGTGAAACCATACTAATTTGAATGCAACAGAAAAACTGTGTATGTTTTGCTGCAAATCCTTTGATATACTTTCCCTCAGTTTATTGCTGCTTTGTAGAACTTGTGCCTGAAAGTGGTGACCGTGCACCAGGAAGCTCCCTGCCTACCACCATTACTTTCAAAGAAGAAAGTAGAAGAGACACTACCAGTTTCCATGCTTTACCAGTTATAAATACTGTGAGCAATATTGAGATTAGATGATTGTATTCAAAAAAGAAAACTCCCAACTGGGAAAAGCCACTTTAACGGCTTTTCCCAGTCTAGACTTTCCACACCTGCTTAGGTTGTTTTCTCAACTAGTACTTCTCAAGGCTCTTGTGCTGCTCCTTGGTGGAGTTGTTATCTGTGATTGCCACTTCTATCAAAGCAGTTTTCTGCTCCTTGCCAACCAGCACAGTGTCTGGCTTCTCAGCGCTGGTCTTAGCCTCTTCAGGTATTTTGCCCCACAGATGATGCATCATCATGGACATCACTGGAGTGTGGGATACCCAGGTACTTGTGCCTATCCTGCTACACTATATTGTCAAAAGTATTAGCTCGTCTGCCCTCACACACATGAAATTGAGTGATGTCCCATTCTTAATTCATAGTGTTTAATATGATGTGGGAATTTTGACCGTTCTTCCCAAAGGTCAGGCACTGACACTGACCCGACCTGGCTCGCACTCTCCACTCGAATTCATCCCAAACATGTTCTTTTGGGTTGAGGTCAGGACTCTGTCCTGGCCAATCAGGTTCTTCCACATCAGTGTGTTTTTAGACTTTGTGCACTGTTGTGCAGTCCTGTTGGAACAGTCAGGTTTGTTAGCGGTGTGAAATTGCCCAAAATTTGTCGGTATGGTGAAGTATTAGGAGTTTGACTGCAGCTAAGAGGCTGAGCCCAAGTCCTGTTTAACTCTAACACGCTGTTCTTGAGCTCATCTGAAATGTCTATAGTGACTGACTCTGAGAAAGTTGCACACTGTGCATTCAAGCATCTTCTGACCCTGCTCTGTGATTTTCATGAATCATGGCGTGCTGTTACCTTTTTGTACCTATGGATCATGTTTTTTTTTCTGCTCATGTTTACTTCTTTACACTGATTATTCATGCTTTCCTGTGGAGGGCATATCTCGAGTGTGTTGGACCTCTTTTATCCACGAATTTCTAGAGAAAGGAGGAGACCCCTGGTGTCTTTCCTGAGATGGATAGCAGGCTTCCAAATATTGAGAGTCAGTAAATATATCATAATGAGTAGGTGCCTTGGTAACATATTGTACAGGACCACATGATTGTGAATCATGCAGTGAACACTGTCCCGTTAGGACTGATCTTTTCGTGTTGGGACACTACTTGCAGATGAAACGGACTGCTCTGGTAACAGCGATCCTTCATGGATGTCCTGCAGGATTTGCAAATGAATCTCAGAAACTGTTTTCAGAATCTTTACAATGACAAGGAAAGGTAGCAAATACCCTGTGCCATTTGCAGTTTAAACCCTTTTATATCACTTTATATCTGCAATTGTTGCATTTTTAATGGCATATTTTAAACTTAAAAATAAATGAATAAAAAAACGTATAGAAGTATGAAGTTACATTTTCATAGGAATCATCCAAACTTTGGATCATATCACCTTCAGGCAAATTGAAGACTTTGGACGTGACCCAGGGTTTGAAAATATAAAAAATATCCACATAATGATTATTTTCCAAGTTATAACTAGTGTTTCTAGAATTGTGTTGTATTTGAACGGGTCTGTCTACTGATATTTTTGTTTTTGTGTGAAGATTTGTCATATTTGCTCAATCCAGCATGAAATCTGAAAGCAAATCATTCACAGCTTGTTGTTCAACGTTTGCACCATGAAATTGTAATGCAAATAAGTTTGAGCAGAAAGCCCTCGTTGATTGGAGAATGACCTGTGTGTCTTATTGAGACGGGCACGTGAACAGTAACAGTGTTACTCTTACAGTGTTTACAGTTAAATGCCCAACGGCCGCCGCTGTCTTCTTTCTGTGGTTTTAACTCCTTAGTTGAGCGTGTGATCGGGGGTTGAGGGCTTGGGTGAATGGTTTCTAATGTTTTTCAGGAATTGTTCCTCCTCCACTTGTGTTCTGTTGTTTGCGCGGGGCAGTGGTGGTGATGGATGCTTCCTGTTCCTGTCTGACCTGAACGTTATTTCTTTCCTCTCGTATCAACTTTACTTTCTCTTTCTTTGACTGTCGATCTCTTGACCCACTAAACTCATTCCTGTCTGTACTCACTGTGGCACTTTCCCTTCTCCTCTCAGGGAATATCGACCGTGGGCGAAGCTTATCCTTCCACGAGGTTTGTGGCCAGCGCGAGGTGGAGATGAGGGCCGCAGCCGAGGAGTCCTCAAACAGCAGCAGTAGTGTAGGAGGCGGCGGCAGCACAGTCCTGCAGCGTCTCTTACAGGAACAAATGAACCGGAATTATGTGCTCCAGCAACAACAAGGTGGAGGAGGAAGTGGTGGAACAGGAGGGGGAGGAGGATACTCGGTGCAGGGACAGGTTGGGCCATCTGATGATCATTCCATGAGCCCCCACATTGCCCGGCAGGAGCCACAGGGACAGGAGTTGCAGACAGACAGCGGCCTGGAGAAGCTGGGCTCCTCCAGAACCGGAGGAGGAGGTGGGAGTAGTGGAGGGGGAGGGGGAGGAGGTAGTAGCGGAGGAGGGAGCAGCCAAGGACAGTGTCCAAACTCTGAAGACCTCCCTACATATGAAGAGGCCAAAGTGCAGTCGCAATATTTTCGGGGCCACGGCCCCCCTCCTCAACCTCAACAGCAGAATAACCAGGCCCAGCAGCCTCCTCTACAAGCGTCTGTGGGCGCCGCCTTCTATGTCACAGGGGTGAACAGCGCCAAGGTGCGCACTGAGGGGCGCCCCACGGTGCAGCGAGTTAGCGGCATGGGGAAGGTCCACCAGGACGATGGGCTGAAGGACCTGAAGCAAGGACACGTTCGGTCGCTTAGTGAGCGACTTATGCAGCTCTCATTGGCCACCAGTGGCGTGAAAGCTCACGCTCCTGTCACTAGCGCCCCACTTTCTCCCCAGCTGCCCCCTCCAGGGCCAGCTGGTGACTTATACAAGACGCAGCATCGTGGCCCACCTCCTGACTACCCATTCAAAGGTATGGGTTCTCCTACCAAGCAGCAGGAGTCGGGAGGCCATTTTTACCAGGAGCAAAGAGGAAGGGAACACTCGAGAGAAGTGCCTCATGTCCGATACCAACCCCCACCAGAGTACGGCTCGTTCAGGTAAGGAGCACGCCCTCACGCAGTTATAGGAAAATACGAATGAGCTACAACTTTCAGCACACTTGTGTTCAGTAGGCTGGAAAACAGACTTCTACAGTAGTTACTATTCCAATAAAGGTGTAGTATTGGTTAAAGTATTGGTTGTTGAACCATTCCCGGATCTTAAAAAGTGACAAGTGGTCTTTTCCTTGTTCATCAAAAACCTCGGTGTTCTCCAGCTCTGCTGTGACTCTGTGCTGTTTACAGCTCAAACACAAGTTTAATCTTTCGGCAAACAACTAGAGAAAAAATAAAAGTACACCAAAATATCCTAATACTACCTTATACTCGTGGCTCAAGAGTTGGGAGTTCGCCTTATAATCGGAAGGTTGCCGGTTCGAGCCCCGGCTCGGACAGTCTCGGTCGTTGTGTCCTTGGGCAAGACGCTTCACCCGTTGCCTACTGGTGGTGGTCAGAGGGCCCGGTGGCGCCAGTGTCCGGCAGCCTCGCCTCTGTCAGTGCGCCCCAGGGTGGCTGTGGCTACAATGTAGCTGCCATCACCAGTGTGTGGTGTGAATGGTGGATGACTGGATATGTAAAGCGCTTTGGGGTCCTTAGGGACTAGTAAAGCGCTATATAAATACAGGCCGTTTACACAACCCAATTGTGTAGTATGGTGGAGGGGGTTTTTACAGAAGCATGCGAAGGCAGCAGTCCACGAGGACCGTGGCCTAGGACTCCCATGTCAGTCAGCACCAGAATGATTGGAGAAAGATCCGTTTTAGGTTTGGGAATGGCAGCTTCAAAGTGTGGAGCTGCGGCGTCTGTGAGCTGAACAGGCGTTGATCAAGACGTCCCAGAAATATTGATGAGCTGAGACTGATTTACTTTTCTCAGCTTACACTGAGTTATCACTTAGTGTGTTCAACAAATAAATTAGAAGTAAAAATAATAAGGCACCCAAAGCGCTTTACAATTCCACTCTCACATTCACACACTGGTGGAGGCAGCTACGGTTGTAGCCACAGCTGCCCTGGGGCAGACTGACAGAAGCCAGGCTGCCATATTACGCCATCGGCCCCTCTGGCCAACACCAGCAGGCGGTAGGTGAAGAGTCTTGCCCAAGGACACAACAAGCAGGACAGAGAGAGCTGGGGATTGAACCGGCAACCTTCCGGTTACAGATGAGCGTCCCAATCCTCTGAGCCTGTGTGTGTTTGTATGTGTGCATTCATACACTTTGTCTCTACCTCAACATATCCGAGTCCTTCCTTCCTTCCTTCCTTTAGCACAACACTCTACTCAGCTGTTAAATGGATCAGAAACCTCTAGTTTGGGATTATTCAGCACTCCTATGCTAACCATGCAGCTGTGCTTTCAATTCCACGGCTAAACTAAAGTCAAATAAACAATTATCAGTCGGTAAAAAACAAGATTTTAGTTTTCATCGGGGTAAAAATTCTCCAAGCAGAAGGTAGAAAAACAAAAACCGACCCTGGTTTCTTGGATGCAAAGACGGATCCTGTTGGGCCTGTTTAGCACTTACCTCAGAGCAAACTGGATTTAAACAGTCATGAATACAACCAGATTTTAATTGTCAGGGCAGGACGTGCTACGACATGACCTGCTGTGGTCTGATGTCATTCCTTTGAAGACAAAAGATATTTTCTGAACAAACTCAGCTGAAGCTGGTGTGTTCCCATGTTACTCAGAAACAAGTCACACATCACCCAAGCAGACAAACCAATGAATCAGACAGGACACGTGATAAAAAGCCTTAGTCTGTATGTAAATGCAACTAGTGTGCATGCTGGGGGAAATTATTATTTGACCTCCTGCTGAAATTTGAAGTTTGCTCACTTACAAAGAAGAAACGGTCTCAACCACAAATCTCAATGCAGTGAATTCGTCCTGTAGCCTTAAACAGCAACATGTTTCTACCTCTGTGTGTGACTGTGGGGACTTTCTGCTGCTGCAAACATGGCAGGTGTGTGTGTGTGTGTGTGTGTGTGTGTGTGTGTGTGTGTGTGTGTGGTGTGTGTGTGTGTGGTGTGTGTGTGGTTGTGTGTGTGTGTTTTGTGTGGTGTGTAGACAGAAAGGAGCTGTTTGTGTCTAGACCTGTTTGTTTACTGTTTGTTTACTGTTAAAATGTGATTGGAGCAAATCATTTGGGCTCAAATGAAAATGAAAAAAATGTCAATAAAATAGCTGTGGACACATGCTGTGTCTGTTTCAGCGAACTGTATGCTAATAAATGTTCAACAGTGTGCAAAAACAACTGACTTACAGATGTGTAACCATGCTTTCTGCAGGTCCAGTAAGGAAGGCTTAGTTCACACCCAGCGACCCCTTCAACAGCACAGTCCCACCTCCTCTGTCACCTCAGTGGGCTCTTTATCGCGCACTCAGTCCTCAATCCTTAGCAACATCCTTAGTGCCTCCCACTCCTCTCATCCTTCCTTCCCTCATCAGCAACCCCAGAACCAGGGAGAGCCCTTACTCACGGCGGTCCCTCGTAGTCCACATAGTACCGGCTCCCACCAGTTGGCAGAGTCTTTTACCTCAGGGTCGCTTCACCCACCACAGAGGAGTCATGGTTTTTGTCCAGATCCCTATGGCTCCACACCAAGGATGCACCATCATCATCATCATCAGCAGCAGCAGCAGCAGCCTCCCCATCTGTATCATCATCATCAGCAGCAGCAGCAGCATCATCATCAGCAGCAGCAGCAGCCGCCATTCCAAGGACCTTCCCAACCGCAGCTGTCGGTCCATTCTGGACCTTTCCCCCTTTCACAGTCCTACACTCACCTGCAGGGGGAGCCCTTTGCAATGATGGCCCGTGCCCAGCAGATGGTAGATACACTGACAGACGAAAACAGGATGTTGAGGCAGGAAATGGAGTCCTGTCGCGAGAAAGTCACTAAATTACACAAGGTAAGAAGTTTAGCAGTCATCTGTTTAGATACATGTGCAGACAGTGTTGCCCACTAAGTTTCAGATGTTAGTGTTCAACATGACCTTTGACCTGTTTGAAACCAGAGTACTCCTTCAAACCTGATGCTGACACGTTCAGCCTAACAGCAAGACAAGTGCAGCACTGTGTGAAGAAGATGTTTTTGGTTATAATCTGTTTTCTTCATGCGTTCCTGAACAGTTTGGTTGAAATGTGTTTCAAAGCGCTAACAGACAATAGAACAGTGGTGTTGTTGGTAAGGCCAGTTTGGACCAGTAACTGGTATACAGTTTCACTCTTTCTGTATCTGTGAACAGCTGGAAATGGAGATCCAGCTGGTCTCAGAGGCCTATGAAAACCTGGCAAAGTCTTCCTCCAAGAGGGAGGCCCTGGAGAAAACTATGAGGAACAAGTTGGAGCTGGAGGTGCGCCGGCTGCATGACTTCAACAGAGACCTCAGAGGTGAGAAACAGTGAAGAACATGACCAACATTCCTCAAATGACTTCAAATGTAATGATGACCTGTAACAGCTGTACCCCGTCTCAGCTCCCAGCGTTTACAGAAATACGGGATCAGTTGGATGGACTTGGATCTGTCCCCAAAAGGACAGATCCAAGTCCTGGCTCAGCCGCTTCCAAGCATTTTGGCCCCACACTGTGAGAGTGTGACTTAAGTAATATACAGTTACACATTTATTTATTTATTTCATTTTTATGAGGTGAAATGTCTTGAAGAAACTTAAAGTCCAACAAGCTCTTTAGACTGTCTGGAATATTTTTTAAAAAGAAGGAAACCAAGCATTTTGGTGTCAATGACTGCAGATTTCCCTTGATTAAAAAGAGAAACCTTCACAGCATCTAGCTTTGCTGTTCTTGGGGAGGTAGGTCTGACATTTTAACTTTCCTTTCTGCATGAAAGCAACACTGAAAGCAACATAAATAAAGAGAGTTAGCACGCGTTCCAGTTATTATAAACTAGAATCTAAATGAAGATCTGAAAGTGTCTTGGGAAAGGAAAAGAACAGCTTATGAGTCCTGGTAAGCATACAGAGCAGCCAGTGGAATCAGGTCGCTGCAGCTGATGGATGTAACAGGGGAACTCTGGAGTGTGTGGGGATACAGCCTCTGTTTTTAACGTTAGTTTTTCCATTTTCCTCAAACGTTTACAATAAATTGAGGGAATAAAGGAAAACGTAGCGGGATGAGGAAGGACAAATGACAAAACCAAAGCCCCACCCAACTTGTGTGGTGCTACGTAAACAACAAAGAATGTCTACATTTGGGTGAGCCGCAGAAAGATTCCACTTCTCCTGTTGTGGGAATTTCCTCCGTGTCTCGCCTTTGCTCCAGCCTCAAAGGATCACTTTGAAGCCAGTTTGGTGTAACAACTTTCATCACTTTAAACAGGTAAATGTCCTCACCATGAATGACTTCTGGAGATAAGAAATCTGGGAGTGTTTTGTAACATTTCCCAGAAAGATTGAACCTTTTCACATTTCCAAAAACTGTGAGCCAAATTCTCTCCATTGTCCAAGAACAGGCAGATGGATCAAAGCCAATCATCCGGTGATAGTTCAGTCTCCATTCTGATTCCCATTTTTGTTTTATATACAATGAACATTTCTATTAACTCACTGGCCTCCTGAGAGAGATGCTTCTGATCTCAGTGTTATAAAACGTGTCCTAAATAAGTCAGAGGTATGCAGCTCAAACTCCTGCCTGAGCTTCTCAGAGGACTTACCACACGTGTACAGTTCATGTGCATACTGCTGTGGTTCCCCAGTCCTTCTGCACTATCCAGTGTGAGGACCAAATCAGCATTTTACAATCTACCTTGATTTTGTGTTTGACTACCAGATCCCACCAGACCTTTAATGTTGCCGTGACAACAGGATTTGGATCCCTCAGATATGTGTACATTTAGTCCGTTGGGTAAATTGAGCGCAGGCATAGACTGAGGGTGCCAGTTTGGTTCAATCCTTTTGCATCGCATTATTAATCGTGCTGTCTCATACAGTGTGTTTAGACCTGTTGTTAGACGGGCTCCCAAATCCCATTTAAGTTTGTACTTCTGTCTGATGAATTCAATCCTTCCTGCACAATATTTGAGTCTCAGAAATATTTAATTTACATCCAGATTTTTCTCTAAACTTTTCTAAGATGGTCCAGAGCTTGAAGAATGTGTCAACTGGGTTTTTAAGGTCTAGCACGATATTGTCTGCGTTCTTTGTTCTTCCTGTGCTATCAGCTCATTGCTTTGTCTCGTATATGTCTCAGACCTGACCTGTTCCTGTGGAGAGCTCAGAGCTAGCTGTCACATTTATTTTCATTCCAGCCGCTGGCTCATGACACAACGCTGGTATACGTCTAATCAAAGTCTAGTTGAAACCCTCAGCATCCAGGCTCACTAAGGCTGTGGGAACGCCACGTTTGTTGGCTTCACTTATGGGCGTAATGTGCGTCTGATGTAGTCCCGTGTGTGTCGACCTTTAATAAATCCTGTTTGATCTTCATCTGTCAGGTCTGGGAGTTTACAGCCAACATTTAAGATATCGGCCGATAGGATTTGCAGTACTCATTCTTACCTTCTTTTTGTAAGACTCATATCGCGACCTGTTTTCACGAGTTTTGGCCTTTTTAACTGTCCAGCTGAATGAATCCAGTAAAGGGGGGCTAGCTGTACCATTCACTGGGGTAGCCAAACGAATGGTACAGCCTTATAACGCTTTGCTTTAGTGATCAGTGAGGTTAAGGTGTCACTGGAAAGGTTCCTACAGAGGGGACGTCTAATCCAGCAAAATAATCTACAATTTCTTTTTCATCCACCAGTTCAGACGGGTCATGCTGAGTTTTAAAGCAGTGTAGAAATTTTGACATTTTGCTACCTTAACTGTGTCCTATGTTATTGTCTGTTCTCTCTGCAGTCCTGGATTTCTTTTTTTTTTGTTAAACACGCCATTTTCCATAATGTTCGTCTGTTTATTTTGATGCATAGTTAAATAAATAGCATTATGGTCAGATATGTCTGCTGTTCCCATTTTACTGCCACCACCATGCTTTGGTGGGTGTGCGTCCCTCTGCAGAGCCCCGTCTCTTTTATAAGAATGATTTATTATTTCTCTATTTTGTTTAAAGCTTGTTGTGTCCTCGATATTGTTAAAGTCGTATTCCAGTCCACATCAGGAATTTCCGTCACACTTGGTGGTAATCTTGTCAAATGTGTGTCCCCCTCTGGAGGTGCATACACACGAGCTACTGTGACACTCTTTCCTTTCGCAGTTGCATATCTGCCTTCTTGATCCTCATCTTCCTCAATCTTTTCAACATTAACATTGCTTGATATCAGGGTAGTTGCACCTCCTCTCCTGCTATTCTTATGTGAGCTGAAGATGGAATTTGTATATCCAAACCTTTTTGACATGTTTCATGTAGAAATATCACCTGTGTCCTGTCTCTTCCATAAGGAGAGGATCCTAATTGTCCACCGCCTTTACTCCTGCTGTTGGTGCCGCTTCTCTCTTCTAATGAATTGAAGCGGCTGTGACATTGCGTGTTGTATAGCAATGGTGGCAAAAATGCCGACTGTGGAGCTGAGCGAAGCGCTCACCGAGTGGAGAAGTAATCAAAACTGTGCAGCTTGAGGCTGGCTTCATGTGCGGTGCTGTATACACGGCCTGGTCCTCTCAGTGGATTCATATTCTTGTGTAGGGTGTTTGAAAACGTCCCTTCCTCTTCTTCCCCAACTCCAAAAAGTCAGGTACTGTCCCTCCTCGATCAGCTTGTTTTGAATACGGTGAGTGCTCCGCTCAGCTCCACAGTCGCGCCCTCATTTCCCCACCTGTGGCCACTCTCTCTGATACTCCTTTCATTTCTTCAGTTGTTTTGTCCAGTTTGTTGCCCATTTCTTGGTGTAGAGAATTAATATCCTTTTGTAGACTGTCGTGATCCTCTTTCAGTTCCGACCTGAGTGATTCTGTAGCGCTCACCAAATCATTCGGGGCTCCAGGGTTCGTGTTAGCTTGCGTTGCAACATTGCTAGCTTTTGCTGATGAGTTGTTTATGTCTCGGGCGAATTTGGTGTTTTGGGCATATTTGTGTTTTGTCAGTCTCCTGCATTTCCTTCCCCACTATTTAACTCTAGAAGAATTGCCTATAAACAAATTTTTATATCTCCATGTAACCTTATATATTTTAAAATTAAATAATGAAACATCCTAACCGAAAATGGATTTAGCTACATTCTGGACAGTGTTTCCGGAATGCAGTAGCTATCAGAATATTTGCATCCAAGTCTGTAATTGGTTGGTTTTGTGGCACACTTATGACGGTGTACGGAGAGTTGAGCGTGCAGGGAGCAGAGATCTGAGCAAGTGCAAATACCAACAACTGAGCGAGAGCGGCTGTTATTGTGTGTGTGGATAATAGCAAACACTGGAAGTAGAGCAGGGCGACATGACCAAAAATATTTATCACGATATACATTTGAAAATTTGCGATAACGATATAACTGACGATATAATTGACACTATACTAATATATTTTCACTTAAACAAGCAGCTGTTTTTTATGTGCATTAAAGTTATGTAAAAATGTAACAGTGCATTGACAGTTTAACCAAAAGGCATTTCCAGTGGAAACTGGCCGACGTATCCTCAGCATAACCATGTATAACATCCACACAACTTAAAAAGAGGTTATACACACAGTACGGTAACATTATGTTGAAGCACAGTACGTATCACTCTGCGAGGCTCCGCCTACGATAGCCATAACGCTCCCACAATCCATCAAGCGGTGCGGCTTCGTAGCTTAGCAAAGTTGTACTGAAACATTTGACAGATTTTCGAGCGCCGTGCACATAAAATCGTTTCGAGGTCAGTAAACACAACCAGAGTTCATACATAAGGCGCACGGGATTATAAGGGGCTCTGTCGACTTTCAGAAAAATCAAAGGATTGATTTTAAGTGCGCCGTATTTTCCAAACAACACGGTAATAACGACGGCCCGCTAGCATGCGCTACCAAAAATAGTGCTTTGTTGTGTATCTGACGGACCAAAGCTAAACCAGTTCCACCAGTGAAGCTGCAGCATTTTTACAAACCAGTTCAGGTTCATCGTTTCATTCAACGATCCACTTTCGCCCTTCTTATTCTCCGTCGCCGCCATGCTTTTTCCTTCCATGTGCGTAGGTAAACAAAGGCACTGCGCATGTGCGTTTTACCCATACTCTATCGCCATATTTCATTTTCTTATCGTTGCCCAACATTACACCGGTATTACCGTGGACGGTATGATATGGCCCAGCCCTAACTGGAATACATTTCTTGCATTGAAACATTAAACTTTTCTTCCCTCCAAATAATTTTTTGCGTGTTGTTGGTTTTTTTCTTTTGGTTTTTTACATGCGCTCAGAATAGAGGCACAATGATAACGCCATACCAGTGTCATTGAAATGCATTGTGCTGTATGTGTGTATACCCAGGCACCAAGATTTTGTGTTATGTGCTGTTGTTTTTAAGAGCGCATGGAAACCGCTAATAAGCAGCTCGCTGCTAAGGAGTGTGACGGCTCGGAGGACAACCGCAAAACCATCTCCCAGCTCCTGACACAGAGTAAGTGCCACACATAGACAGCATCAAACCAACAACCTTCCTGAGGAATAATGACGAGTTATTATTATTATTTTCTAATATAACACCTGTCAGCAGAATGCAGGCTATTAGAGGATGATGCACATCACTGTTGCCTGTTGGTGTCCACATGGAAACTAAGCAGACAATAGTTTTGTCAACTCTTTTATGTCGGGACGACTTGCTTGTTGAGCTGGACAGACTGTGTCTGACACTCAGCTGTTCTATGTAGGTGAGCCTCTCAGATTATTTTCTGTCATCAACCTGTATCAGTAAGTTTTTTCATTAAACAGTCCAAATGAAGGGCCGTAACCTGCGGACCCTCGCTGGTAGGGATGGGTACCGGTGTCCGGTGCCATGATGGCACCGGTTCTGACATAAACGGTAGTAACCAGACCGAAAAGCAGCGCACATTTCGGTGCTTTTTTTTCCCTGAGCTGTGACACACTTTAGATTCTAGCCAATCATTTTACGTTTCCAAGGATAGTAGGCGGGGCCAGGTACGTACGTTCTGTTAGAGCAGAGCTACAGATTAAAAATGTCCAAGGCGAAGCGGTCAAAAGTCTGGCTGTACTTCACAGCAAAAGATGCCAACTCAGCAGCAACAAGTGCTTTAAGCTGATACTGTGATACTGTCAAAGGAGGTAACTCCTCGAATCTGATGAAACACCTGGCGACGCATAGCGGTTTTTTAAAAAGCCCAGAAATGCGCCGTATGATAGCTTGCTGCAAGACCTCACACCGAGCACATCTACTGCGGGTGGGTTGCCTGTTATGCAACATCCCCCAAAAACCCGAAGAGGAGAGTCCTGGCCCCTAGCCCTGCCAGTGTAGCAGAAATGATGAGGATGATGATGCAGCAGCAGCCGTTCTTCTCTGCGTGAGTAGCTAATTTACGTTGAGTAGGCTAACCACGTTATTACATTAATGCATGTAAGGTGAACTAGCAAACATCATCATAGCTACATGCGGCTGTCTTCTTGTTTGATGGCAGATACTCCCTTCACCCTGGCCAAAAAGGCTAAAATGACCAAAGAAAAAGTGGAAAACAGTTAAACATGAGAGGTTTTTGGACAAAGTTTTTGTTTTTTCCATTGTTTAAGCACTGCTTCCAGCCAAGAGTGATACCATATATGCCCCATAGCTGCAGAAAAGGCTAACATTGTTATCTTTTTACAAAACAACAGCTGAACATGAGAGGTTTTTGGACCAATTTTGTGTTCTCCATTCTTTAAGCACCGTTTGAGCACCGGCACCGTTTCAAAAGTACCGATTTGGCACCGGTATCGGATAAAACCTAAACGATACCCATCCCTACTCGCTGGTGGTCAAACCATCAGCATGTCCCCGATGTGAAAGCAGTGTTTTACACTTCATCGGTGCCACAAACACACTCAGCTTTCACTCATTCGACATTATCTTTAGCAGTCCATGGAGCTCACACGGCAATGCTGCAAGTCACCAGGTTTTAATGGCAGCCACCTTCAATCATCTCATAAAGGACTCGCATTAAATAAAAGAGGTCCAGTCTACTCCAGCTGAGATGATTAACAGGCAGCACAAGAATCACAGCACACAGTGCTGAAAGTCTCAGAACTGTTACAGCATTCCCGGCGTTCCCTGTTTGGATATTAAAAAGTAGAGCGAGGTGATTATTCGGGGCAGAAACTCGACCTGCTAAGTTTTTATTTTGTTTTTTACTTTTGGGGTTTCTGGACTCACAATTAACTTCAAAATAATTAAGAACATGATACAAACTGTGAAATTCAACCTGGCACATCAGAGACAGCCTCACAAATTCTGTGAACTTTCCTCATTTTATCGGTTGTCTAACTGTCAGGAAGCAGTTTGTGTGTAAAGTGTTATTATTCTTGTTTGGGACGTTATGTGGACTTCATTTAAAGCTCGTTTGTCTGAGACCTGTCAGGTTTCGCGCTGACAGGGTTCATATCAAAGTGTGTCGAGCCTTTCTTTCTGACAAATACACTGACATCACTCCTTTGTGTGAAGTTGAGAAATGTGTGTTGTTCCTGTTTTGTTGTGAAACCGTCCCTTTCATGCTGTACTGAATCAGCCCCTTATCTGTGGGAGGGGCTTGCTACTGCTGTGCCTGCCTCGGTTGGGGCGTATCCGAACACAGAGACAACGACGGACGTGCAAAAGTAGTGACTCCTGTTCACTTTACTCGGGTTTGTTGGGTTTCTCTGTGGACGAGCCAGCAAACACTGTCAGCTGACAGATGTGCGCTTGGAGCCTGGCGCTCACCGACTACGTTTCTAGTGGACGCTTGAACGTGTTCGTTAGACTCACATGTTGCGTTTTCTCAGTGCTTGACGGTGCATCCTTAAAGTTCGTGTGATCATCATAGCAACAACACCAACGATCACTCATAAGGAAGCTTCTGGAAACTTCAGTGCTGTCGCCTCACTTGGTGAAGCTGTGAAACAGAGTTCAGCTGATCAGAGGACAGTGCACGCTCTAACCAGTCGTATCATGTCAGGAGTTTATCTTAAGCTGGATGGTTTTCTTGTCATAACAAAGAAAGAAAGTGATAATTACAACGAGTTATCATTTTATATAAGATTATACAAATATAAAATGTACATAAGATGTTGGGCTGATCCATGTTTGACATAATTGTGTTTAGTGTGGCATCAAATGTTAACTGTCAGTCATTTATGTGTCATTGAGTGTGTATCTGAGGTCTGCTGTGGTGAGGACAGTGTTCAGTGTTTCATGTCCTTCTGTGCGCTCAGACAAAGAGACGCTGCGTGAGAAGGAGAAGCTGGAGATGGAGCTGAACGCACTGCGCTCGACCACGGAGGACCAGAGAAGGCACATCGAGATCAGAGACCAGGCGCTGAACAACGCCCAGGCCAAAGTCGTCAAGTTGGAGGAGGAGGTGTGGCGTTTTTGACTACGCTGCTTTCATTGACTTAGACGCATTACATTTATAGATGTTGAGTAAACACTTTTCTAGGGCTGTGTATGAAGAATACACACTTAACAACACACACATATGACATGTAAGTTTAGTGGTGCAGATCAGCCTTTAATTACTTTCTGAGAAAAACAACTCCAAGAGTACAATGAGGCACAGCTTCTACAGGAAATCCTTCACGTTGCCATTAGATCAGTGCGAGGAGATAAATAAATGTACAGACTGATGTTCCTGTTTGCTTCTGATGTGGCAGACGCAGTTTGTCATTTATAAATGTAAACGTTAGGATTGTCCTCTGGGAATGAGTTTCTATGCCGATCAGAGTGGAATTATTTCTATTGATGAAATGGATCAGCCTACAGATGTAACTGATCTGTTCCTGATAGGTTTACTAAGCTGTAGCTTAAACACGGTGCATAAAAAGCTATAAAGCTTGTGTAGCTAAACGAAAGAGTTTCTGAGAACGTGGCAGGTTAAGGTCACACTCTGAGCACAGCCTGGTAATATTCAGAGCTCATCTAATGAGTAACAAGGTTCACATTTGACCCTGGACACGTTTTAGGAGCACGCTTTCCATTTTCACACATTCACACACAAATTCCACAGAACGTTTGCTCCTCATTACAGAGAAATATTCACCTCAAACAGGAGAAGTTTTGCAGGCACAAAATGATAAATCTTGTATCCTGTCAGGAGCTGCTCATGATCTTATTGGTCCTGACCGTGGAGGGAGTGGCTCTGCTGGCTGAGTCCCTGTTACAAAGGCGACGTTTATGTCTTTGCACGTGCGCAGTGTGAGCAGTTGCGGTGACACCCTCACGACGGTTTGAAATCCTCACGACCAAGCGATTGATGATCGGGAGCTGGTCGTGAGGTGTTAATCGCTTCTCGTTACCCGGCGTATACTACACGACGCACGATGAAGGCCAAACTCACCGATCACCAAAACGGTCGCACGACTGAAAAATCGGCTCACAATGGGCCAAAAATCGCAGAGTGTCTGCCCACCACTAAACGTTTTATTCAGAAAACATACCCATCACAGGCTGTTGACTATCAATGGCTACCAGGCCAGTGTGTGAGCCACCAGCCACTGGGGCACAAACGTCCCTACGAGAGCAGTGACTTCAGGTCAGAGTAATGAGCGATCTCACTAACTAACCAGCTCCAATTACCAGTTTTAATTCACTTTTTATATAAATACTAGGGGTGCAACGATATTCGTATCGATATTGAACCGTTCGATACAGTGCTTTCGGTTCGGTATGCATATGTATCGAACAATACAACATTTTTTATTTATTTTATCAACTTTCCTTCCGACGATGCTGTCTGTGTTGAGCGCTCAGTGAATCTGCGTTCGACTACTCCGCCTAGGCTGCACTGTTGAGCGCAGATCCACTGAGCGCTCAACACAGACAGCATAGTCAGAAGGAAGAGCGCAGGGCACCTCCCCCACCCTCATTCAGATCTGGCGTTTGGAACTATTTTGGTTTTCATGTGACGTATGACTCTGAAGGTAAGCGAGTCATGGACTAAAGTAAAACAGTATGTTGGATGTGCCATGCAATGCTTAATTACATTGATGTGAACTAGTGTGTTAGCGCAGTTAGCTCGTTAACGTGTTGGCCGTCTAGCCCCATGCACAGGGCGATCGGCGGTAGCTCGTTAACGGAGATTTGCCGTGTTGTGGCGTTAAGGTCATTTCAACGAGATTAACCTGAAAGCACTAGTGGGAACACAACGAATATGACTGCACATTTACACCGACATCATCCTAGTGCAAAGACAAAAACAACAAGCATGCTACTAACTTTAGCCGAGTCATTTAGACAGCTGTTAGCACATGATTCTCCTTATGCTGCTGAGAATATAGCCCAGAAGAAGCGGATAGTATAGCTTTTATTTTGGAAAGAGCCATTTCTCTGTAATAAACTCTCTTTTCCAAAGATGAGTGATTCCTCAATCAGATACAGGGCTTGCAAAATCGCTAGCCCGACGTCCCGGAGCTAGCGATCTTTCCAGTCAGGCTACCAAAATCTATCTCTTCCCTGCCCGTCGGGCTATTGTAGGAAAAATATATGTCAATGCTTTTGCATTCTTTCAGAAATGTAGCTGGGTAATTATGTCATTGGCATCGGTGAGCCACTGTCAATATGTGACATATTGAAATCGCGTTTGAATTTGCGCTTGTTTTTTTGCTTTCACTTTGCAATCATGCGAACTGTGTATAGAGAGCGACAGCACTGATCTGTGAGTGATGATAATTTGTGCACCAATTCCTCTGACATCGTCTTATTAATCGTTAGCTTACTATGCAAACATGACAAGTGAAATCTCCCGCAGCTTAAACATGTGAGAGGTTGATCGCAGAGAATCGCTGAGCTTATGTGAGTGCGTGTGTAAAAGCATTTCAGTTCTGCTGAGCCAAATAAGACAGGTCAGGGTGAAGAAGTGACAGCCAAAGAAAAGCTTACCACAAAACGGAAAAGTTATGACAAATCAGACTATAAGGCAAAAAGAAAGTGCAGCTTTATGGTTTCATGGACAAAAGAATTTCTGTGGCTGCAATATGACGAGCTAAATAACCAGGGCTGCACATAAGTGGTCCGCAGGTGCGCATTCACTGTCAAAATAAAAAACACGCACAAGGGTTAGGGTTAAATTTAAAAACTGTACTTTTGAGTTAAAATATATATTTATAATTTTAATAAATGACAAATTAAAAAGGCATGAACATTTTTTTGTATCGAAAAAATATCAAACCGTGACACCAAAGTATCGAACCGAACCGTGAATTTTGTGTATCGTTGCACCCCTAATATATACATTTCTATAAATATGTAACTTAGCAAACTCATAATTTTAAATTTATTACTGTGGGCTTCCAGGGGGGCCAGCTGCACTCATGTTAGCATTATACTAACATGAGCACGAGTGTCACAGCCACTGCTATGACATGCTCATGCATTCACCTATTTTTCTGCTTTTTATGACATTGGATACTGATGATGATGATGTCCACAGTGTGACTTCCTCACTGGATTTTAGTTCTCATTGGTTTGTGCACTACAGCCAACCAGCAGCAAGAACACGTATCACTGTGTTTCTGTGCTTCACACACAACAAACAAACCTGTAAACTGTGATGGATCAGGAGCTGCTGTTGCTATGGGCTGTGTATCGATCAGATTTACATTTGTTTGGAGATTCAGTGATGTCATATGATTGGAATAATTGTTTCATGTAAATCACTGAGAGGACCAGAATGTGCAGTGAGCATAATGATGCAGGGAATGAGAATCTAAAATATTACAGGGTTGTAATAGTGGTGGAACATAATGTGTGTGTGTGTGTGTGTGTGTGTGTGTGCACAGCTGAAGAAAAAGCAGGTTTACGTGGAGAAGGTGGAGAGGATGCAGCAGGCTCTGGCTCAGCTCCAGGCAGCCTGTGAGAAGCGAGAACAGCTTGAACACCGACTTCGTACAAGACTGGAGAGAGAGCTGGAGTCACTCCGTATGCAACAGGTAACACAGCACATGTGCTGACTCACCATCCCACCTGCTGAGTTCTTGGTAATTTGTCACCACTTTATTATGGCCTTTATGACTGGAAGATGAAGATCTTATTGAGCAATTGTTTAATGGTGAACTATGCTATTTGGTTATCCGCTGTAATACAGAACAAATACTTAAGAAGAGTGAAAATATTTAGTCGAGAGCCGAGGACCGCTTGTGAAGAGCTACAAGTGGTCCTGGAATCAGCAGGTACAGTTTTCTAAAATAAAATGTAACCCATACCACACAAGCGCATTTAAAGTTTGCTCGAGACATCTTGAAGCTGTCATGAGCAATGGTGGCTTTTGTGCAGGATATATATATATATATATATATATATATATATATATATATATATATTTATTTCAGCAAGTCTGTTAAATACTAAATCTACACATACCTCACATACAGTATGAGCGAGATTGGACTTCCAACCCACAGGATCTTGGTTGGCTAACCAACCGGACATAGTGGTGGTAGACAAACAGAAGAAGACGGCCGTAGTGATCGATGTAGCGGTTCCGAATGACAGCAATATCAGGAAGAAGGAACACGAGAAGCTGGAGAAATACCAAGGGCTCAGAGAAGAGCTCGAGAGGATGTGGAGGGTGAAGGTAACGGTGGTCCCCGTGGTAATCGGAGCACTAGGTGCGGTGACTCCCAAGATAGGCGAGTGGCTCCAGCAGATCCCGGGAACAACATCGGAGATCTCTGTCCAGAAGAGCGCAGTCCTGGGAACAGCTAAGATACTGCGCAGGACCCTCAAGCTCCCAGGCCTCTGGTAGAGGACCCGAGCTTGAAGGATAAACCGCCTGCAGTCAAAAGATTTAGAACAACCCAGTTTTTCCAGTTATTTATTTCTGTTCAAGTTGTTCAAATCCAATGAACAGCTCGAAATGGTAAAAAGGTAAGTGGGGACCTCCCAGAGGTTTAAAAAAAGGTAAGGTTACCCAAAACTGAAAAATAATGCACATTTCAGAAAATGGCCTTTTTCAGGGAACAAAAACAGGTTAACAATTTAAAGCTGCTCTGCAACAGTGGAGGTTGATCCAGCCGTGAAAGCTGGTGCTGCTAAGTCCTACAGCTGTTCCAACCTCTCTGGATTACTCCCAGCCCCTCTGTCTGCATAAAAGCAAAAAAGGCGATTAACAGTAGAAGACAGACCATCGTAACACTTATAAATGTAGATCTGTCCTACAGAGAAACTGCAAAGAAAGTCAAGGCGTCAGTGAGTCCAGCTTCCTTCAAACTGTGACAGGAAGAGGTCTGCAGACCCAACGACACGACTGAATCGGACACACGTTCCTGGGAGTTAACAGCTGTGTGATGGCGGCTCACAGGACATCAGCTTCAAGCAGCTTCATAGTGGTCGTAGTGAGAAAGTCTCAGTTTCAGCTGTGAGGAGAAACTTCGAGCTGCAAGTTTAAGAGGACGAGCTGCAGCAAGAAAGCCAGACGTCAAAATAAGACAGAGGCCCGTCTGGGCCATGAAACATTGGACTGCTGAAGACTGGAAGAAGGTTTCATGGACTGATGGATCAACATTTGAAATCTTCGGTTCATCATGCAGGATCTTTGCTGTGGAGTAGGTGGAAGGATGGATCCACAGTGTGTGGCATCGACTGTCAAACATGGAGGAGGAAGTGTGACGGTCTGGGGCTGTTTGCTGATCCAGGGTCTGTGACTCGTACAGAGTGAGAGGCTCCCTGAACCAGAACAGCTCCACAGCACTCTGCAGCTCCATGCAGGAGCCTCTGCAGCTCCATGCAGGAGCCTCTGCAGCTCCATGCAGGAGCCTCTGCAGCTCCATGCAGGAGCCTCTGCAGCTCCATGCAGGAGCCTCTGCTCAGTCAGAGGTTCATCCTACAGCAGGATAATCACCCAAACAGTCCAACTGTGCCAAGCTTGGAAACACGGAGTGTCCAACACAGGCTCCAGACTCAAACCCCATCGAGCTGGTTTGGGATGAACTGGACAGAAGAGTGAAAGCAAAGCAGCTACAAGGTCCACGTTTATGGAACATCTGCAGCAGACATGGGAGAAGATTTGATTTCTGTTGCAGACAGAAGCCACGGCTGTGTTCAGCTGTTATATCTGCCAAAGGAGGCAACTCTGATGAGTCAAAGTTTAAAATACACTCTGGTCTATAAACTGATTCCATGATTTATTTTTTCACTCCAGTTGCTTATTTGTTGGGTTTTTCTCTGTATCTATGAAGCGTCTTGAGGCGACTTTTGTTGTGATATGGCGCTATATAAATAAAATTGAATTGAATTGTACCATGCTTTCATTTCAGAGTGCAATGGAACATTAAACTGTGTAATTTTCAATGAAAAACTGGAAATATTGGGGTTTTCTAAAACCTTTGACCGGCAGAGAGAGAGTGAGTGTGTGTGTGTGTGTAAATAAAACAAATACATCTCTTCCAGCGTCAAGGTGGTGCTCAAACCAGCGGTGTGATCTCGTCAGAATACAACACCACAGCTCTGATGGAACACCTGAGGGAGAAGGAGGAACGGATCCTGGCTCTGGAGGCTGACATGACCAAGTGGGAGCAGAAGTATTTAGAGGAAAGTGTAATGAGGCAGTTCGCCCTGGATGCTGCAGCGTCTGTTGCTACTCAGAGGTACATGTTTCAGGTTTTCGTAGTTTCATACGGTCTCTCAGCAACATTATTGCTTGTCTTAGTTGTTAGGATCTTGAAACACGAGATGTGTCGTGGTGCGTGCTCAGTCATCCAGGTAAGCAAATCCCAAAAGGCTGATTCTGTTCATCTGGACGTTTTCAGTGGGAGAAACGTTTCCTCGCTCATCCAGGTGACGTCTTCAGTCTCAGCTGACTGCAGGTTTCCACCTTACAAACAGGACATTTGCACAAAGACTGAAACCAGCTGACTGAATGAACAGTGGGCTGTGAGGTCAGTTTCTGTACTATAAGGTTGGGAAATCTGCATTTAGCGGAGACTGAAGACGTCACTTGGACAAAACATTTCTCTCAATTTTCTGGGACCATAGGAAAGCTGCCCCGCAAAACTCACAGCCATCTGAGCTTCTCTGGGCAAGAGGCGCAGCAGCTGTGCTGCCCCTTCAGTCTGTGGCCACCAAACATCAGCTGTGACTGGGAATCAGTGATTTCTATAACCGATTCAACTCTGATTCACAAGGTCTGATCTGATTCGATTTTGACTCAGTCAGAAATACTATAATTATGATCATTTATCACTACATATCCATATTTTATATCTATGTATAAATAAAATAAATAAATACTCTGCAGTAGATCACAAACTGAAGAAAACCATGACTCGTGAACATTACCTGATGCTGCAGAAGTGAAGCAGAGCAGAGTCACGTTTAGCTTTTGGCAGAATTTGTAAAAGTTTAAATTTCTTTGGTATCGAACAGCAGAAATGAGGTTTTCTTGTCAGAGAAATAAGAGCCTCAGGCTTGATGGGGCAGTTACACACTTTAAGCTGCTAGTTCACTTTTTGTTTCATTTTTAACAACAAACTCTGGTTTCGTAGCTTTGTGGCAGCTGTTAAACCAGAGCAAATACATAACAGTAAATATTTAATGTTTAAATATGATCTGCCTGAGATGTTAAAAATGTCAGAAGTGTAATCACTGCTGTAGTTCATGCTATTACGCACCTGTTGGAGGAAGGTACAATATGGCCAAAGCCATTGCACAGAGAAAGTGTGCATCATTACCAACAAGGGCCCATCCTAAAACTGTAGCTCTACACCTGTTCTGGAGCTCCTATCCAAAGAAGGTTGCTGCTCACCTGAGAGGTGGCTGTCATTGTTTTCCTGATGCGATCATCCAGTCGTCATCCTCGGAACAATAAGGACCAACAGTCTGTTTAAGAGAAACCCCAGGATGGGTGTGAGCCACTCCTGTCCTTGTTTGTGCAGGGATACGTCTGCTACGATGATCAGCCACTCTCCTAGCAGCAGCTACGACACATCAGTGGAGGCTCGAATCCAGAAGGAAGAGGAGGAGATTCTGATGGCCAATCGGCGCTGTCTGGACATGGAAAGCAGGTAAACTGCTCCTCTGCAAAGGGCTGTTTGATTATGTCAGGGTGTGCAAACAGATGGAGAGAGCGTCATGGGCTGCTTCTGTGCAGAGCTGTGTTTGTGGTGTGAAAGCATTCGGGTATAGAAAAGTGTTACCACTTCATACCACGGTACCTGCTTTCATCGTAGATTGAAGCCATCGTATTATATTCAGGCTGCACTTGTTTTTGTATCTTGTATGTAATCAAGCTCATTCTTTATTCTGCTGTTTGTTAACTTTCTCAGCGGTTTGTGTCTTTTACCCTCTTGGACCTGCGTCCACATGTGGACTTCACAGTTTGGGTTGTCTAGACCACAATACTAAATTTTGCTCTACAAGGGCCTGAGATCCACTTACGAGGACGTTATCCTGCCACTGCTGTGTAAAACAAATGTAAATGGACTGATTCTCATGCAGCGCTTTTCTACTCTCCCGGAGTACTCGCAGCGCTCTATACAACACGCCACATTCACCCAATCACACCCATACTCACAAGCACTGACTCTAAACTGAGTGCTTTTCTAACGACATTCACACTCCGATGGACGCATCAGAGAGCAGCTTGGGGTTGGTATCTTGCCCAGGGATACTTGGCATGCAGACTGGAGGAGCCAGGGATCGAACCACCGATCAGTAGGTGACCTGCTCTGCCTCCTGAGCTACAGCAATCAAATGTCCTCATAGGTGGAACTAATTTTTCTAAGAAACAAAAATCGGTTAAAAAGATAATTCTTTGTTTTACATTCGTCAGGCCCCAATCAGCCCAAATAGCAAAGAGAAATTAAAAATGCATGAAAGAGTTTGGGTCTCAGGGGGTTAATGGTCAGTAAGACTAGAGAAGCGTTATATAAATTCAAGTACATATTGTGTTTATTCTATCGAGCTAAGTTGTTTTTAGTGTAATTTTATGATAAATGATTTCTTATTTTAAAAATCAATCCATGATTTAGTTTCAGTCACAGCCAGACATTAACTGTGGCTGCGTCTGCTCTGATCCAGGATAAAGAATCTGCACGCCCAGATCATTGAGAAGGACGCCATGATTAAGGTGCTTCACCAGCGCTCTAGGAAGGAGCCTGTTAAGTCTGATGCACCATCTGCCATGAGGCCCTCCAAGTCCTTGATGTCCATCTCCAACACGGGTGGTTCTGGATTGCTCTCTCACAACTTGGGACTGAGTAGCTCTCCAATCACTGAAGAACGTAAGGACACGAGTTGGAAGGGCAGTCTGGGTAAGAAGCAGCAGTCGGTGCAGAGGTTTTAGCCCATGTGACTATTTCATGTACATGACTTCATTCTGAGGAGCACTTGTTCTCATGTTCCTCCAGGGGTTCTGCTCGGTCCCGAGTTTCGCATGGAGTCTCTCAGGACTGAGTCGATGTCGTCGTCTCCCTCCCCGGTCCTTCCTTCTACACCGATGACTGCAGGACACTCAAAGACAGGCAGCAGAGACAGTTACACGCAGACCGACAAGGGCCACAGTCAGGACACCAGCAAGCCCAGCACTCCGGCTCTGCAGAGCATGACGCTGCCAGCTCGCCTGTCCAGTCCCAGTCCCGTCTACATCCCTGACCGCATAGCAGGTCAGCCTCTTTGTGACAGACTCACAGCCAGCTATATTTTACCTTCACAACAGAAGTCAGTCCACATGCTTCCTTTTTGTGCACTGGAAAGTAAAGACACGAGTATTTCATAGTGCGTTTCTACTCGTAGTGAGCATGTAAGAGCTTTTTCTACTACAAGCCACACTCACCCATTTACAGTCACATGCTTACAGCGCTTTATTCTATACCTGTAAATGCTTTAGATCTGCCACACATTACCTAAGACTGTCCAAGGATAACGCCACATGCAGCCTGGACGAGCTCGCTGGCTTTGCAAAGCCACCCCTGTGGTTCAGGGTCAACTGGACCTCTGAGACGTCTCATTCTTCCATATTAAAAAAACATTAACACATCAGACGGCCCTTTGCCCTTTGCTCTCTCCCTCCCTGTCGATTCTTCACTGTCCCATTCAATAAAGGCCAAAAATACATCCATATAGATACAGATATAGATCTCTATTGGATTTAGGTAAGGTGAGTCAGTCATTGGTCATCAATTTGGAGGATTAAGAAATCTCCAGCCTCAAGTGATGACACTGTCACTTGAGGCTGGAGATTGTTGTGCACCAGGAGGAACCCAGAACCTGCTGCACCAGCATAAATACGAGGAGGGAAAACCATCCCTGTCCTTCTACGTGTGCACCTGTTGTTAATTTCATTGACACCAAAGCAGCTGACCCTGATTTACAACCACTGACCAGATCAACGTCACAGAAGTTTACCTGACCAGTTGCTGTACTCTGGTCAGTGTTCCTTTAATTGTTTTTACGTAGTGCACTATAAAATTGACAAAAATCATAATCTCAGAAGGGCTGAGGAGCAAATATTGCTTGTTCTTCTACAACACAGTGACGCAGAGTTAGCACCATCGCCTCAAGACAAGGGTGACCTGGATTTGTATCCACCAGTCGGCTGGGCCGTTCTGTGTGAAGCTTGCATGTTCTCTGTGAGGCTTCATGGGTTCTCTTCAGGTTTCTCCTGCAGGCCAAAGAAATGCACTCACAGCCTTTGTCGTGACATTCAGATCTGAGCTAAGGTGCTTCCTGTTTCCACTGTTCATCTGTCAGATGTGTCTACAACTTGACTGGAGTCCACCTGTGGTAAATTCAGTTTACTGGACTTGATCTGGAAAGTACACACCTGTCTCTGTAAGGTCCAAACCATGGACAGGTGTCAGAGCACCAACCAAGCCATGAAGTCCAAAGAATTGTCTGTAGACCTCAGTGACAGGATTGTATCGAGGCACAGGTCTGCAGAAGGGTACGAAGAGATTCTGCAGCATTGAAGGTCCCAATGAGTACAGTGGACTCCATTATCCATAGATGGGAGACATTTGGAGCCACCAGGACTCTACCTGGAGCTGGAGGTGTCCAAGAACCTGATGGTCACTCTGACAGAGCTCCAGTGTTGCTCTGTGGACAGAGAACCTTCCAGAAGTCCAACCATTTCTGCAGCACCAATCAGGCCTGTATGGTAGAGTCATCAGACTGAGCCCACTCCTCAGTAGAAGGTGACGGCTCACCTGGAGTTTCCCAGAAAGCACCTAAAGGATTCTCAGACCACGAGAAGCACAATTCTTTACCCATCTAATAAAAGTTTAGATTTTCATGAACGAGACACTCTCATGACTCATGGAGTGATGCCACTAACCAGCCAATCAGTGGCATGCAGTCTGATGACATCACATTTTAGTACCTGCTCGGATCACTTTTTTTAGTACCTGGTACCAGGTATCACCTAAAGGAAAACTGTGGCAAGTCGATCCAAGTCATACTAATGGAAACGGGGCTATTGTAGTAAACAAAATAAACAGTAGAGCAAACATATGAACCAACAGACGTCATCTGATACATAGTTTAGATTTTGGAGACAGACACTATCTCTACTTTTAAGATTAGGCTTAAAACTTCCCTTTTTGCTAAAGCATATAGTTAGGGCTGGACCAGGTCACTTTGTCCACTCACCCTTCTCACTGTCACCAAAGCACTTGCTCGGAGGGGGTTACTTGATTGTTTTCTTTGTAATATTGTAGGGTCTTTACCTTGCATATATTTTGTCAAATCGCAGAGCTAATCGCACCGTTCATCACTTGGCCAATAAAATCCCTACAATGAAGCGTGGTTCTGTGGGGATATTTCTCAGCTGCAGCACTGGGCTGTTCAGTGAATGTCCTTAGGTGGGCCAGCCAGAGCCCAGAACTGAGCCTGATAAAGGTTCTGCAAAGAAAAATGGGGGGAAAGTGCCCAATAGGGCTGCTACGATTAGTCGACGACTGATTTAATAGTCGACGCGTCGTTTGAAGCTTTGTAAGATCCCAAAAGACGCAGGAATCAGTAGCAGGATTTAAGAGTGTATTAACGGACTGAAACAGAAGATGGCAGCACTGCATGTACAAGGATGCCAGCTGCCGTTAAACCCCAAAGAAGAAGAAGCTGTGTCCCAGAATTCATAGCGCAGCCCAGCTCAGTTGTCAACAATGGCGGCAGCTAGCTAGTTTTAATATTACTCTTATTCTTTCTGGGTCACAAAATACACGTTTAACATATTTTCAGGCGAGAATGTAGCTGTGTAAATCTCAAATATCTGCTCAGTTTATCAAGACACCGCATATTTTCAAAAGCGCTCCGACGTTTTCGGAGACGTCTGTTACCCACTAGCTCGATAGCTAGCCGGGGGCTAGGCTAACTAGAGCCGTGAGAACACCGGACTCCCGGCTAATTGTTTTCAAACCCACCGCCGTCTTTCGCTACTCAGGTTAAACATGATATATAAGTCACTTAGAGAACTTAAAATGTTATTGTTTGGCTTTTTTTTTTTTAGTATTTTATTTGTTCCTGAGTAAATCTGTTTGGCTGAGATTAAAGTTATAGTTTTTACACAGCTGAATAAACGTCAAGCAGACAGCTGATTATCAGAAGTGTGAGATGCTCCAGAATTTACTCCGGTGTCCTGTTATATTTTAGATAGCAAGGAGTTTATTAAACTTCACCGAAACAATCTGCAAATTTCAATAAAATTTAATAAACTCTCATCTTGTCTTTATTTTTAGTTAGCACAGACCTTAAACACTTAAAGCTGTAAGCTAATGATAGTTATATAAGAGCAGATGCTGCTGGTGCAATAAGCTGTATGTTTTACGTCCAATGGATGATGATCTGATTAGTCGACTAATCGCAAAAATAATCGGTGACTGGTCGACTATCAAAATAATCGTTTGTGGCAGCCCTAGTGCCCAACAATAGATTTGCCAAGCTTAGAATCATAAAGACTGGAGGCTGTAGCGCACAGTACTGAGCAAAGAGCGTGAATACTTCTGTTATATTTGGGGCTTTATTTTTAACTAATTCCAAGCAAGCGTTTTTTCCACTTTGGCATCATGTTGTATTGTGTGAACATGAAGCAAGTAATCTCTTTGAGAGTATACAACAACCTGTTACGAGGTGCTTTATGAAGGTAAAAATACCGGTAGTGGCTCACGGTTTAGAAATCATTTAAAAGTATGTATGTATGCAACACACACTCCTGGCAACATTATCACAGTTAATGTAACGTTTTGTTGTGATATTGTGTAACGTGATGTAATGTCAACATGTGAAGGATCTATAAGATTCGAGGTGTACACAGCAGACAGGATCAGAGGAGAAATGTTCTCATCAGTCTTTCACTGTCACATTTGTGTAGATGCTCAGGCGTTTCACACCAGCACGCTGGAGCGCAGACTTCCCATCCAGGCCCACCCACAGCATCAGTCAGCTCCTCCAGCACAGTCGAGCCAACAAGAAGCAGACACAGATATGGTGGAGATCCTCATCTGACCACTTCATCTCCTGAGAAACGTACAGCTGTGTGGGAGCTCCGTCAGCGCAGACGACCTGCAGCTCTCGTTTTCATACCTTTGTGTTTACAGGCATGTTCATTCAGACACTTTTACATCAGCTCCAGTCCTTCGCTGAATCAGTGTTCATCGATATCTTTAAAGGAAATCAGCCCGTTGCAGCACCCCCAAGCGCTTTTTCTTGAATGTGAGTTTAAATTAAGTGGTGACTGGAATTTAAGAATGTCAGTGATCATGTGATTCCTTTTGTCCGTGCCATTCGTGCTCCTGTGTTCACAGTGATGGCGTTGCATGGAAGTTAAATAGCTTTATGGACTAAGTAAGCATAAATCCTTGTCATGTTGTGTCCATGCACGTGAATGACACATGTTGTTCCTGACTGTACATAACTGTGTTTATAGCTGCACCTCTAAGGTAAATATTTCACTTGTTGTCACTCTGCCCTGGGGGTTCAGTGTTACTGTTAATAGGTCAATACGTCACTGTGTATGGCACCAGTAGTATTTCAGCACATTGCCAAGCTTAACGTGTAACTTTTTTCCCTCTTGCAGCCACTAATGCACCATCTATATAACATTTATGTGTGTAATAGTGAGTTTTCTTCTTTAAACTACCGACATGAGCAGGTCAGCAAACACCCTTCACTCTGAAACTGGCCCACACGGTGCCCCTGTGCTTCATCCAAACAGGCGAACCCTGGATTGCGTCCATGCCGTGCACATCACTGTTTCGAGTCAGGGTTTCACACGCACACCTGTCTGCCTTTGACCTCAGCAGTAAGGGTGGGACAGCTTAGTTAAGCTTTCACGACCTCCCTCTGTGCACTCGTTCTAGCCAACGTCTCTTTTTCTCTATAGACAGCCTCAGATTTAAAGAAGACTTTGAGCCAAGGACCTGAGGTAAACCATGTTACGGTCTGTGTTGTAAGAACATGTGGAGCTTTCTTTTAGTACGTTGCATATCATTTCAAAAAAGTGACACAAGCGTTTAGTTCTTGAGAATCTTTACATTTCTGACACTTTTATTACCAGATTTCTCCAAATGACTCACTAAGGGTCAGTGCCTCGATGCCTGGCTCCTCCTCTGCAAGCAGCTCACCCCCGACGTGCCCCCAGTGCATCCATCAGGTGTTGGATGAAAGCACTGTATAGATGTGTGTGTTACTGGGTGAATCAGAAAAGGCACTGTATAATATCAGTGCACTGAATGTCTCTATGTATCACTTTGGTAAGTTGTCAGGCTGGTTTTTGCACACGAGTGTGTTGCTCTGTATTAGCGAGCTACTTTCCACCCACCGTGTCATCATCCTGAACAAAAGTAACTGAATGGATTTGAACTCGACCTGTAAAACAAAAAGCTTTGTATACATGACATAAAACTTTAACCTTCAGCAGGCAGCACATGCTCAGTCTCTGAAAATAAACTTTCCTCACATAAAGAATCTGATTCAGATAATTATGTTCAGCAAAAATAATATTTTAAGACAAAAGTATCCAACTATTTATCTTCTGTGAAGTTCTTCAGCCTCATTAGATATGAGTATATGCAGGAGTGCTGCTGCTCGAGTAAATGCACAGACATATTGGTCTCCATCAGTATGACTGTCCGCATTTGTATCCATGTTACTGTAGTGCTGCTACAGCCTGATGTCACCAATGTAAGTAACTGAGCTGATTCACACGGCTAATATCACAATTATGGAAAAGTAGTTTTATTATTCAAGCTGTCATCTAACAGTATCCAATAAAACTGTACCAAAGAATGGCAAGCAAAATAACGTCATTTCAGTGGGACGGCAATATCATTTCACTACAAATAGTTAATATCATCAGGTTAAATGAACACTTTTCCCACCATTGCAGAATATTTTAGGATATTTACTCTCCACTCTTACTTATTTCCTCTTGTTTGAGATTCCTGAATTGTAATCTGTCTGTAATATCCACGTCTACACGTTGGGACCATCCAAAACTAGCTCATGACACAGTTTCTTTTCTTCGTTTCTTGGTTTCACATTTGGTAAAGTTGCACGTCTTTGTTTCGCCCTGTCATGAGGTGAACTCGTGTATGAATCAAGCTGCTTTGCTTTCTGGTGTAGAACAATGAAAGATGTTAAACTGCGACAGAGTTCAGTCTGGTGTGAACTCTGTCGCAGTAAATCTGTCAGGCGGCTCATAAAGGTCTGTTACTGGTTCATGTTATTCATCGGGTGTTAAAGAGGTTATGGAAATGATGCTAAAACACAACACAGTGTTGGTGCATACGTGTTTATTAGTTTCTACCATTAGTATAGTATTATGCATGCATTATAAAGTATTGATGTTTCATGTGGGCTCAGTTGAAAGTTTGATGACAAAGGACCCTGTGGGCCCTCAGGTGGGATCACTGAGAACTTCAGGATATTATGAATGTCTCCTTTCAAGTCCTGGATGCCTAATAAGTATTTAGCTCTATTATTTTACCAAATTTCAGTGTTGTCCAGTTTAATTTCTGGTTTTACAATTATAGTCGCAGGACTCTCGAGGAATTTCAGAAAACACTGGAGAATACCAAAGGTTCTCATCAGAACACCAGTAGTTCTCACTTTGAGAGAAGAGTAAGAAAATCAGCATTTTCGAACGATCCTTAAAAATCACTCGAATCGAAAAATTTTTTAGAAATGAACTGTGAGTAAGTGACAGCTCATTTATTGCAGAGATGCCTGTTAACATTGCTCCTGCAGCTGGGATCTGTGCTCTTCAGTCTTTAGGATGTGCGTCTCTCATCCCATCTGAGGATGTCCTCGGTCCTGCCCCACCTGTATTTCCAAAGCTTCCACTGTGTTCATAGCTGCTTTTTGTTTAAACAAGTCAAATCTTTTGAAAGCATTTCCTCCTACAGCATATTTAGTTAGTAATCTCAAGTTACATTAGTTCCTCTGCACTTTCCATCAAATAAAGTACAATTTGTTAAGGATTGCAGTCTGTACCAGGCACATGCCCTAACATATTTATTAATTCATGATTATCTCTGCATGTAACACCTTCAAAGACTGAAGTGGCTGTCACATTTATTGCACATTGTGATTATAAATCTCCCATAATGTGACAAATGCCTGGCAAAGAACACACGTAACAAAATGTCTTGTATTGTAGTTCTTGACGTTCTTTTTAGGCCGTTTTTTACGCGCTCCTTAATTTTGTTATTGCTGTACAATCAAAATATACAGAATATAACTCTCTCCTTCTATATTGTATCTTGGTATGAAGTCACTGATTTATGTACTTTTGGATTTGAAACTTGGTCCTTCTCCAAATGTTTTTTTATTATCTTTTATGAAGTGAGTATTACTTTAACTGTTGTTAAATAAATTAATGCTGAGGCTTCAAGGTTGTTTCGGATGTTTTACATGGACACACCTTGTCTGTGAAGGTTCTCGGTCATCCTGATTGTGACGCACACCCGTTTTCACACCTTGTGATTAGGTAGAGGATCATCAGGAGGTCCATTGTCCCTCTTGGAGGGACACTCCCATAGGGCTTAAGGCTACGTCCACACTAGCCCAGATAAATTTGAAAACGGCGTCTTCCTCTGAAAACGCTCCGTGTTCATCGTTTTCACAGAGTTGTGCGTCCACATTGAAACGGCCGAAAACGCTTATGTTCCAGTCCTGCGCATGCGTGAAACGCAAGAAGATTCAGCCTGCCTCATTTCTGTCTGCCGCTTATTCACTTTCCAGCTCTTTGAAACATCACGGCAAAATGTCAAGGAAAAGCACCGAGTTTTTAAATGGACTCACAATGAGGTGGAGTTGTTGCTGCGAGTAACACAAAAGTATAAAGTTGCAAAAGCGAGCGAGAGGTAAAGAATTTGAGGAAAAGCTCTCTGGAGCACGCACAGACTGATATTAATCTTTAATAGGGCTGTCAAACCTGAGAGCAAACAAAACAACTGCTGTGTAACGCCCTCCGCTATCTTAGTTTAATTGGTCACATGACTGCATCACATGACTAACGTGTCATTGTTTTAGAAAGTCTGCGTTTTCGCTGTCCACGCTGCGACGCGAAAGCACAGTTTTCGAGAGCGTTTTGAAAACGATGCGTTTTCCATCAGCGAAACGGCCATCTCAGTGTGGACGGGAGGCCGAAACGGAGAGAAAACGATGCGTTTTTTAAAACAAAAATGCGTTAGTGTGGACGTAGCCTAAATCTGGGACCCTCCACCTTTTGACCCTAGAACTGAAGAAGCTTCTCGGAGGTGAAACATCTTCAAGCAGCTTAAAGAAGTTCAGACACATTTCTTTCCAAGCTCCTTAGACATGGAAACACCTTCTATTCAGTGCACCATCAATACTGTAATCACCATCAATACTGTAATCACATAAGATCAAATCCAGTTATTGTTGCCTCACATTAACTCATAGTTTCTCTCAGAATAAGCTTTTTAATGCTTTTATACTTGAAAATTATTTATCTGGTTTGGCATAATGTAGCACAAAAACAGTAAAACTGCAACTTTTGACGTTAAATTTCTTCCACTAATGGATCTGAATCTGATAAAGTACAAAGTGAATGACTTTGTGTTGATATGTGAACAAAATATAACATTAATAAAATGACACATTAACTGGCAATGCATCTCAGGTGACGTTACAAAGCAAAGCAAAGGTAGTTTCAACACTAGATCATTTCTACACCACTCTGCATTTAATCATTAGTTATTATTTTCCACAGTGGGTCTTTTGTCCTGTTTCCTTCTCCCACGCGATGAAGGCAAATGGCTGCCCCTCCCTGAGCTTCACCTTGACACACCTAAAATCTGTGTGAACATTTTGTGCATTAAAAACATTTTTCAGACTCACCTATGCTTAATGCAGCCAATCACAGCAATCTCGCAATTTTAATGGCCGAATTTGCAACAATGTTTTTTCCAACCAAGCTCAATTTTCCGGATATTTCTTATCCGAATAAGCAGATCTTAATAATTAGATCACTGCATTTGCATACTTATTCTATTGTGTATATAGTATTCTTTCTATTTTGTTTAATATGTTATTCTGTTTATCTTATTCTATTCTATTGTTTTTCTTTTTCACTGTTCTTGTGGGAATGTTTTGGTCACGGCTGAAAGTACGTGTGGAACTAATAAAGGTTTATTTTATCTCAAATGGGAAACTAATACTACTGTATTTTACCTTGGACACACAGCTAGACGCTGATCCAGGTCGATCGGCTCTCTCAAATGATTTCTTCAGATGTGGTCCCAACTCTGCTAACAACAGCTCAAACTACCCTGCTGACAAATATGGACACAAACTGCCGTGGTACTGCTTCAGCTCCTGGATTAAACCATGAAATTCTCCCTACAGTTCCCTTCTCATAAGAAATGGATGAGCCCAGACTCGTTTGGCTTCCCTTCATTGGCTTCCTGTTAAATCCAGAATTGAATTCAAAATCCTGCTCCTCACATACAAGGTCTTAAATAATCAGGCCCCATCTTATCTTAATGACCTTGTAGTACCATATCACCCTATTAGAGCACTTCGCTCTCACTCTGCAGGCCTACTTGTTGTTCCTAGAGTATTTAAAAGTAGAATGGGAGGCAGAGCCTTCAGTTTTCAGGCCCCTCTTCTGTGGAACCAGCTTCCAGTTTGGATTCAGGAGACAGACACTATCTCTACTTTCAAGATTAGGCTTCAAACTTTCCTTTAAAGCATATAGTTAGGGCTGGACCAGGTGACCCTGAATCCTCCCTTTGTTATGCTGCAATAGATGTAGGCTGCCGGGGGACTCCCATGATGCATTGAGTTTTTCCTTTCCAGTCATCTTTCTCACTCA